TTGACCCACAGGGGTATCAAATCTACCCCCCCACCCCTTGGGAGGGGAGTTGTTTGTGATTGGTCAGCTATTTTACTGTTAAAAAGCCCAAGACGGCCACAGAGGCTCCCACTGTGGTCTCCAAGCAACTAACTGAAGCTGAAGGCCTCGTCTGCCCCCAACACCGACATCACCGAACCCACCGAGGTAACTGCAAGTATTGAACTTTCAATCTACTCTTCAGTCCTCTAAGGCTGCAGGTCACACTCCTGCTCCACATCCAGCTTCTCAGATTCTCACTCAGCATTTTCATCACTGTTTGTATTTTATGTTTGTTGTAGTGAGTAATAAATGTGTTGCGCCTGTACAGTTGTTTCTTGTGTTTTCTGCAGCTTATTTTCAGTCACTTTCCAACCTTTACAGTTACCGGAGCTCTGACATTATAAAACAGTCCTGACTGATGAACAGTTCATTAGAATTATTGTGCCGACTCGGAGAATAATTTAAAGGTTGGTTATGATCATTTAATTAATGCAATAATCTTCTTTATGGTGGAGGTAAGTCTGTCTGATTTCCCATCTACACTGCTCATATGCCAGGTTAGGAGCAGCTGACGGATGATGGTTCACTTAAGCAGCATTTTAGTGGTGGACTTTCATATCAGGGTGAATAATAATAATAATAATAATAATAATAATAATAATAATAATAATAATAAAAAAGCAGTCACTGTTATACATGCAAACTTTATTATGGCACCATTTTTATGCTTAATTGTATTTTTTTCTTGAAAAATAATATTATAAAGGCCTGTATGATAAAATACACACTATGGTAGTAAAACACCTGCAGTTCATGCTCCAAGAATAAACCAACGGTTAAAAAAAACGCCCCATAATCATTAGAGAGAGACTCTTCTATGACTTTCTGATGCCAAAAATAAATTTAAAAAATAAATAAAACAAGCCAGCGCTGCTATCTGTGATCAGGTATAACCTGTTTAAAGCTACACAGCCTCCTTTGAGGATTTCAGTGTTTTATTATGGGATTGATCTTCCTCCAGGGACTTCCTCTGCCTGCCTCCTGTCTGCCTCCAGCGGCTCAGTCCGGTCCACAGCTCTGCGGACGCAATACCGCCCGACATGTAAGTGACCACGTCTCGATCTCTCTGCTGACAACACAACATACGTCGAACATCGAACCGGTTCTGTGACATGCACTGAGCTGACAGCACAGTTTGCACTTCTTGTTTTCTTGTTTTCTTTCCTGATCAGCGACGCACATGTGGAGGAAGGGCGGCGGACTGCTGGCGCGTAAAAGCGTCGCGTTCTCTGCGCAGTTCGCAGCGTGTCTCTGAGGACACGAGCAGGCAGCTCCGTCATGTTTGCATAAAAAAAACCAAAACGTGCTGAGCTTCTGCGCTCATGAAACCGAGCATAGCAGCGACCCGCCCAAGTGAAGTTGGTTTCAGGTTGGAGTTGAGCTCCGTGAGCAGGTTTCAGCACAATGAGGGCAGAAGAAAAGCAAACCCAGTTTTCCTTCCATTCAGGGGAAATGCGCAGTCCGTGTGAACAAACATGCATTCAGCTGCCTTCAGTGTGAAGCAGGAAAACTGTTGAGCTTCACAATGACAGCTCCGGAGGCAGAACCCTCCCACGCAGGCGGACGAGCAGGCCACGAAGTGTTCACATGTCACAGCCAGCGTGTTTAAGCCCAAATAAGATAATAATAACGTTTTTCTCTGCCAGATCGTGCGTCATGGCATCTCCACTGCAGAGTCTGGTTAATGATGATAGCAGATACCTGAAATCCTTCCAGCTCTTTTTGGAGCGCTCCTCTGAGCACCAGTGTATGCGGGACTTCATCCACCAGCAGCTGCCAGACATACTGGCCAGGTAATCTAGCACTCACAGCTGGAGCCAGCCCACACCGCCACACTGCTGACTACAGCATACATCACAGTGCAGCTGAGGGGAGTTCAGTGTTTCAGAACCATACAGTCAAGTTCTGGGGTTTAGCTGAGCAACACAGGGCGGACTCATCAAGAGTTTGTCCAGTTAAGCAGGTTTGGTTAATCGCCAGCGTGTCATTAAATCCAGTCAGGATCAACCCTCCCAGAGCCCACATCCAACTGGTTTTATGGCGTGTTGTAACTGTTGCTGATAAACCAGAGCAGGAGACGTTCTTGACCTTTAAGCAGCTGTCAGGGGAGCAGATTTCTACATTTAAATGAAAAAGAGACGTCCTCCTATAACACCTGGAACATTGTGAAACGTTTCCACACATGGCAACGATGTTCTCCATCTACCTGATGTGTTTCTATGGTTCTATGTGATGCCCTGTTACACCACAGAGAACAGTAGTTTGGAAAATTCTTCAGATTTTGTGCACAAAAGCGGATGTGTGAACTTTAACCCAGTGAACTTTAAGACTCCATCAGGTGTGTGACAAGAGAAAGGTGATAAAGCACAGAGTGTAGACAGAGATCTGGAGCCTGGAGGCCGTTCAGCCGACACGCCGCCTTATCATCCGTCAGAGGCTTCATTAACCCCTGCAGGGAAATGTCTCTTTAACAGTTAATTAAGGAAGCTGTAGAATTAAACACAAGAAGGCACCTGGGTGGTAACGGGGTGGAGGACACTGAGAAGCCAGGTGACCAGAGAGGGGGGACTGTAAACACGTGGAAACACCCTGGGTTTGTGGTGCACATGTGAAAACAGTTCAGTATCTGCAGAAATGTTCCTTTATGTGACAAGTGGGGCACCGTTTGTTCCCAATGAAACGCTGAAAACAGGCGACAGTGTCTTTACTGTTCAGCCACAAAATCAAACAGCTGACTTTACACGTGTTTATAGATTAACCAGCCAACGAGTGACAGTGAGTTAGTGTTTGTGGAGGCTCCGGCTCTGCCTGCATTCTGTTCTCCGTGTTGATGCGAGCTGTGGGAGATGATTGACACGCTGCAGAGAAGCTCTGTGCCGCCTGCGACGGTCTGAGGAGCAGATCAGAGATGAATCTGGGGAGATGTGACTCACGAGTAAATTAAAAGGTGTAATAGTGTTATTAAAAATCAGACGGTGAGTGACAGAACATGCCATGGCAACAATCAAAGCCTCTGTATTCGTAGACGCTTCAGTCGCCGGATCAGAACATCTCACGTACGCAAGTGTCAGGCAGAATTGACAGTTACAAGCCCAAAAATGTGACCCACATTTGGCAGGTTGGAAGATGTGAATTTCAAGGCTTTACTTTCTGAGGACTCAGAGTGTATATATATATATTTTTTTCTTCTCTCTGCTCTCCCCTCAGCATTGGAAATGGAAAGTCCCACCTAAATGTCATTGGAGTTGGAAGCGGCGCCGGTAAGAACGCACCGTGGAGGACACTGTCACTGCTGAACTTAGCGTATGTTTAATGTGACACAGTAAATAGCTGAGCGACCCCTGCAGCAGACAGCGAAGGTGAGAAGGCGTTTTTGAATCAGCCTGCTGCTCCTGTTGCTGCTGCAGAAAGGAAACCTTTACCCTTATTAATGCCGCCGAGGGTCTGCAGACGTCCGTCCAGCTGTCAGATTATTCCAGTTGTCTGTCAGACAAAGTGACCTCACCTTTCTACAGCTTTACCGCACACTGGCTTCATTTTCTTTTTCTCCTCAACATACCCACTACATGCCCTCAGAGTGCCGTTACCCTTTATTTATGTCAAAGCCAATCGTTTTAATTTATCCGAGCTGTCATGTCGGTATCATAATGGATCGACGTTACAGATTCTCTAATGGACTGTAAAATCCATTAGAATGACTGCAGCCTCCCCTGAAAGGTATTATTCAATCTAATCAAAAAGATTCAGTGCGTTTCTACATCAGCTCCTTTGCTTAAATTTACTCCTTTGTACACGGCAACTTGTCACCTTCAAAAAGAACTAGAACAAAATCACCTGCCTTTGGCTAATTTTGCTGAAAGGAATATCAAAGCGGTGAGTCTCTCCTGTGGTTCTCAGCGTAGTAGTTTTCTGAAATAATTGCAACATAAAATGTCTGATTTTTCTGCAGAGCTGAAAAGTGCAATTGGCAATTATCTGCCGAAATCTGCGGCGCCATTTGAACCGGCGCGTTACGATGAAATGTGAATTAATGTACCAATTCCTTTTGAGTTATTTTTTAACGGGGTGGGTGGGAAAGTGGGTCGAAATCTTGTTTGCAAGAAATAGTTGGTTTTGTAAAATAAAATAAAAAAAAGCGTGTTGGTGCCTCCAGGTGAGATTGACCTAGAGATGCTCTCTGAGCTCCGTCAGAAGCACCCAGGGGTGACGGTGGATAACGAGGTGGTGGAGCCGAGCAGCCAGCAGCTACACGTCTACAAAGGTACGCTCTTTAAAGGCACACACTTCCCTCACGTAGCGCAAAACGCAAACTCTGTATTCACATGCGCTCCAAAATGTGTTTCAATATTTAATTTAACAACAAAAAAGGTGTATTCTTTCTTGTATTTTTAATGTCGAAAATACATTTTAAAGCAGCCCTCGGCTTTCGTGCCAATGAATTAGTAATGCGGTTATTCTGGTCTTCGTCAGACAACCGTCCTTTAAGCAGCCGTCCCAGACTCCAGCCTTGATGTCAACCAAACCTCACTCCTCTGAAGTGTCTCTGAGCCAAACACTGAATCGTTACGAGCTGCAATCCGGCTGCTCTCTGACCAGCATCTGACACACACACACACACACACACACACACACACACACACACACACATTATCTCTTCAAACGCTGTCCCTCATGAAGATTGTAGTTAAACTGATGAACCACTGGTTCCTCGTTTTTGACTTTTGCACCTGAAGTGGATCTTTCTGTTTGGGTTTTTCAGCTGCGTGCCTGTTGGGGCGACCGTACATCTCTGCTAGAGGTAGTTTCATCAAAGCGATGGTGTAAAACGTGTTTATAACGTTTGTGATTTCAAGCCTCTCTCGTGCTCGCCTCTCTGGAATCAGCGGTTCACAGAAGGGTCAGGGCTGCATAAGACTGCCTGATAGAACTGGAACCAACTGTTTTGTCATCAGTTATTAATTCATATTAGGTGTAGACCTGCATACGAGTAAGTTTGCGATATGACATGATAGGTGCATTATTTAGTAAACAGTGAATCTCCTGTGGGCTGCACAGTGGCTCAGTGGTTAGCACTGTTGCCTCGCAGCTAGAAGGTCGCTGGTTGGCGTCCCGTTGAGGACACCCGGGATCTTTCTGCGTGGAGTCTCCATGTTCTCCCCGTGCAGCGTGGGTTCTCTCCGGGTTCTCCGGCTTCCTCCCACAGTCCACAAACATGCTGAGGTTAATTGGTGATTGTAAATTGTCCGTAGGTGTGAATGTGAGTGTGCTTGGTTGTCTGTCTCTAAGTGTAGCCCTGTGATAGACTGGTTACCTGTCCAGGTGAACCTGCCTTCCGTCAGCTGGGATAGCTGGGATAAACTTATTTTCTTCTACTATGAATGGTTGAGTACATGCAAGGTGCTGAAGGTCTGCAGCCGTTTGTCCAGGACTCTCTTGAAAATGACATTTAAGTGGCGACATACACAAGTTGGATGGACTAACCCTAACTCTACATGCTATGAGCTTAAAGCAAACTGTTGCATTTAAGATTTGAGTGTATACCATCATTTTCACTTGACTTCTCTTAATCGGATGCGATAAAATAAGCAGAGAAAGGTCGCTCATGTGATTCTGCCGCCAGGTGGTTCCTGTTGTTCTTACTGAGCTGTGATACAACACGAGTGAGTTGTGTTTGTTTTGTCAGTTCAGGTGCAAATTACCCAAATTCTTTCCAACGCAGTGAGAAGTGTCGTCCCTAAACAACAGCCTGAAACAAACCTGCCGACAGAAACGTTTCATGGCGCCTTAGCTTGACCGTATGATAAATGTGATGTGTGATGTATTGAAAAGCCGTTCTTACACGGCAGCATGGAGGCGTAGCAGAGACTCACAGTTTGGTAACCTTCCTGTCTGTCAACGGTCTGTCTGTAGTTTCAGTGGCGCAGAAAAAAGATATAGATTACATCTCGTTCACCTGGAACAAGATGACGGCCTCCGAGTTCGAGGAGCACTGGAAGGAGAAGAAGCCGACGAAGAAGGCGGACTTCATCCACATGATACAGGTTGGTGGTGGTGATGATGTGCTTCGAGCCCACAGACTGCATTTTTTGGCACATCTAGGTCACATTCATTTGGTGGCACTCGACAGCAATTAATCCCATTAGAACATCTGTCTAGCATAGCATTATAATTAGACGCTGTATGAATGCAGTTATCAGCTCATTATCTGTGGTGGAATCGACAGATGCTGTACTATGTGAAGGATCCTGGAGCTACCATCAGCTTTTTCCAGAGTCTCCTTGATAAGAATGGGAAGCTTCTTATCATTCTCGTCTCGGGTAAGTGAATGGATCTAATTTTAAATCAAGACTTTTATCTTCTTCTTCTTCTCCTCTGTGCTGCGGTAGGATTTAATATGCTGTGCGTAGAGAGTGTAGCTGTCGGTTACACCTGCAGTACGTTTAGGGGTGAAAACCTGCTTCAAAACAAAAACAGAAGAAGCCCTTCATGGCGTTCTGGTGCATAAAGACGGGTGACAAATTAAAGGAAACACCAGCATGAAGTGTCTCACGGAGGTTTTGGGTCACCACGAGCCACCATAACTACCCCATCGCCCCTCAGCGTTTACTTTCCAAGTCTCTAATGGATGAAACACCGTCCCTCCAAAAGATATTCCCTCAGTTTGTGTTCAGAACCTCCCTCAGGTGTTCTCCTGGGTTTCGAGGTGTTGACAGTGAGGACCATAGCGTATGATTCACATCATTTTCATCCTCGGCAAACCCTTCAGTGACCCATCCCGCTCCGTGGTCGGAGGCATCGTAAAAGGAACCACTCCGATCATACAATCAAGGTGATCACTCAGAACAGCGCTGTATTGATTTGCAGTGACCCTCCTCTCTGTGGGAACAAGCAAACCAAAACCGGAGCAGCAAATGGGCCTCGCACAGCAGAGAGAGAGCCACAGGGTTCAGGTTGTTTCTTCGAATCTGTCACCCGTCTGTATGTTGTGCACATCTATCACTGTGGAAGGTTGAAAAGCAGTTGTGCTGCCATTTGAACTTATTTTTGTTTTTACTCAGTTCAGTAAGAAGCACATCTATTGCTGAGGAGAATAATGTAACCCCCAAACAGCGTATTTCAGAGCGGCTTTCTCAAGCTTTTGGCAAGAAACACCTGCTCTCATGCTGCTCCGCTGCCTGAACAGCGCTCACCCTAAATAAGAGGATGCCTCAAAGCCACTCTTTCATGGAAAAACATAGCCAGTTATTCAGACTTTTTTCCCCACATCAGCACTAATGCGGGTCCATAAACATGGCACAAAACAAAAGACACACTTTGCTGGTTTTAGCCAATGGATGTGAGAACACACAGACCTCACATTTAAATCTATTCCAGTCTGTAGCGGGTTAGATAAATGTCTCTCCGTGCCGCTGAATGCAGCCCATATTAATAAGAGTCACTTCTTTCACTGAGTCCTTACTTTGAGTTTATTAAATACCTGCAGCGATCGTAAAGCAGCATCCATATGAAGGTCTGAAGGTTAGAGCGCTGCTGTGCTCATTGATGCATGAGGGGGACGACTTCTATCGACCGCTTGCAAGTCAAAATCTGTATTTCTTCAGTGAAGCACCTCCAGTAGGTGGTAGGCAGCCTTGCTTTGCTCACGTGCTGATGTTTTTCATGGCGTCTGCTCCAGGGCGCAGTGGCTGGGGGAAGCTGTGGCGGACGCACAGGCAGGAACTCTGTACTCCCGACTTGAGTCAGTGTGTGACCACCGAGGACATCAAAAGAATCCTGGACTCCAAGGGTGTGCGCTACCAGAGCTACGAGCTGCCGTCTCAAATGGACATCACTGAGTGTTTCACTGAGGGCGACGAGGAGGGAGAGCTGCTTCTCGATTTTCTCACCGAGGTGCTGAACTTCAGCAAAACAGCCTCGCCCGAGCTCAAAGCTGACGTGCTGAAGCTGCTCCGGCAGCCCGACTGCAGCGTGGAGTCCGAGGGCAGGGTCGTCTTCAACAACAACCTGGAGGCGATCGTCATCGATCAACAGCCCTGAAAACATGAGCGCTGCATTTACAGTAGATCCACTCCGTAGTTGTTCCAGTGACTGTAAACAACATGTTTAGCTGTTTGTCATGAAGCCGGTGGGAAATAGATGTTTCCTATTAGCCGCTGTCACTTGTTTTATTGTTGGTAATTGTTCTAGAATAATTTTATTAATTCTGTGTAATCTCTAATATGTTTGTGCAAAATGAAAACGATTTGATTGTATTTTGTTTTTATTGACATGATCCACTCAAACATTCCCACAGAAGATGTGAAGATCAGAGTGTTTAGATTTTACCACATCGTTTTTAATGAACTATAATAAATTATTGGAAGAATACATAGAAAAAAATAACAAGTCATTTTCCCATGAGGCTGTGCTCGTCTCATCAGACTGTCTGGATGGTACGTTGAAGCGGCTGCAGGTCGTATTTACACTGATTCCCAAAATAAAAACCTAAAGGACCTGTTGGCACTCTGGCCTTTCTGTTTTGCATACAGCTGCCGTTTCAGTTATTTGCGACGCTGACTAGAAGACGTCGTGCTGACTGACCGGACAGCGGAGGTTTGAAGCTGCTGTGGAGTTCATACGGCTTATATTGGATTTATAATATTGACGTCTGAGGCCGGTGACTGATTTGGATTACTGCAGCTTATAGACACACAGAGTGATACCAGCCAGTCAAGTAGAGTTTGTTTTTTATTCAACTCAAATGCAGTAGTACTCAGAACAATGCCTCTCTGTCTAAACAGCCCGTGGACCTGCTGTGTATGAATACATGACACTGGTTGTAAACAGTCGGCTGTTGGTGTTTGTCTGTGACGTACAGTAGCTGAACTGTTGGCACCATCTTGAGGGCAGCACGACTTACTGATCTGTGAATTACATCCAGGACTAATAAAGCACCGTAACTCATTTGAAATACTGCACAAAAAAAACACTCTGCTCCAAACATTTAGTGGTTTAAAAGTTACGATGGAAATAATAAAACAGCCACAAAAAAAAACTACTGGGGGGAATCACTACTTTTAAAACTGCTTTTACATGTTTTTAATCTTTGAACCAGAACATCTAGACTCTGCCTACTGCACACACACACACACACACACACACACACACACACACACACACACTCAGGTATCAGCACTAAACAGGGATTAACTGCAGCTAATCCTGTTTGCTGTTTGTTTTTTAACATTGTTCCTGACTGCACCACATTGACAACAATCATTGTTTAAATATCTTCATCTTATCTGCAAATCCATCAAAAAAAAAAAAGAAAAAGAAAAAGATCTGAACTTGAGCCCTAATTCTTTAAATTTTTCCAGCGCTCTCGGAGCCTCCAGTAAAAGCCGGAGACAGAAAATTCTGCTCCAGTGAAGCAGCTTCTCTCGCATTGGTTTTCCTCCTCATCCTTTCATTTCCAGTATCTGCCTCTCACAGTCTTGTATTAGATAAGAGCCCTCTTCTCCACATCCAGCTACCAATCAATAGGACAATGACAGCCATGTAACCGTGACATATTTTGTAATATAAAGAATGAATCTGTCTATAGAAATCCACCCGTTTCTGAGAGCATCTAAGGCAGCATAAACTAAACTAAGCCTTCTGCTGTTTGCATTGTCCTGCTGGAGCTGGGTGTGGTTCTTCTGGCTCTGCATCCACGTTTCAGTGGGTTGTATGTATTAAAGTAAGCCAAATGAAAGGCAGGACCCGAGGTTTCCCAGCAAAACGCTGCATTGTAAGAACATGATTTATGTTAGTGGCCTGTCAGTGGTTTTAATGCTGTGGCTCGCTGGCGTATTTCACATCACAGATTTATTTCACTTTCTTTCTCACAGGTGTGTCTACGATGAAGCTCAATGCATCGCGGCTTAGATACACACATGCAAAACAAACACTGCACCCTGTGAAAACATCTCCGGTGCCGATCCAGGTCACGTTTACTGGAGCATTACGAGGAAGCAGAACAATCACGCAAAGCATGAAGCGGCCAACGCACACAAACACGGGCGAGACGGGACACGGGCGCACATCAGCAGCAAACAGGAGCTCAACCAACCTGCAGGCGTTTGTTGTCTAACTGTGTACAAACTGTGTGGTGTTGGTGAAGGTGTGCTGCCTCTGAGGGTATGTCGTGTTAATGATGTGTTTACGTGCACTTGATGAGACTCTAACGTGATAGAAAGTGCAACTGGAAGTTACAGGAACAAAACGCTGAGCTGCAGCTGGTTCATAGTGATTTTTTTGTTTTAAATCAATCAGCAACCTTAGAAAACTGTAGCTCATGCTTGCAAGGTTTAAACTACATCAAAGCCGGCTCTTATACTTCACAGGGCAACATACTGAATGAATAATATAAGTTTCTATGTTTAGTTAAACGACAACTTTAACACAAACAGCTGTTGAATTTTTTAACTCCTGCATGAGATGATAGTTGGCCGGAGTCTGACAGGACAGCTGCGGCTGTTTGCGCGGTGCAGACAAAGTTCATGAGTTATGCAACAAAAGCTGGTGGAAGGAAGCCAGCCTCGCAGTAGGAGGGGACTGCAACTCTGCTGCTTTAAAGAGCCTCCGAGTCGCCCTCTCTCCTCAGTTTCACAACTACAAGTTCTTCACAAGGTAAACTTTACTTCTTATAATGCAGCAGTTGATTACTTCTGTGATTTAAAGCTGGTTTAGCAACGTCTGAATGTTTAAAGATGTTCATTGAAGTATTAATGATACTCATTTGCATTGCAGGAACCAGCCATGGCCGCAGAACCGAACGAGACTTGTTATGATGGCAACTGCGCCCAGAGCTTCCAGTTCTACCTGCAGCACTCAGGAGAACACAAAGCCATTGTCCAGTGTGTTCAAAACGTCCTGCCAGGAGAGTTCACAAGGTACAAGAACGAACCAGAGTCAAGAGCTCAGCTACACTCTCCATCTTTTACTTATTTTTTAATACCAACCCAAACTCAGGAGGCTGTCGACGGTTTCTTCATGTCTTATTGTTTCGCTGAGTGTCATCATTGAGCTCGTTATGGCAGCAGCTGGAGAACGTGACAGATGACAAACAGGAAAAACATGCCTGTGAATTCATGCACGGATGAAGCTGGCGCCAGTAAAATATTTCCACTGGTCAAAAGTCAAAAAGTTGCTTGTGCCCTTTTCGTGAGTCCAAACAGCCCTGATGGCTCAGGGGCAGGAGGCAGCACAGGGGCAGGGGGCAGCACAGGGCAGTAGTTTATTACCAGTTTTACATTTTGGTATTTTACATTTTGACATTGCATGTGACACATTTCCATCTCATAAATTCCTGTTTTCACTGCGATTCAGAAAGTTTTCCGTGTGTTGCATATATATAGTAAAAATGGGTTTAATTAGAAAAGTAGTGTTGAATTGTATACTCAGAGACCACAAATACAATCGAACAATTGTCCCGCCAGTATCCAGAGTAGATATAATCCTCACATGGAAGTCTTGAACGAGGGACAGTACCATCATAAATATTAGTTTGGGTTTTATTTGAGGGTTAAGTTTATTTGTTTTAATACCAGTTTCCCTTTTGATGCAGAATCGGAGCCGGTAAAAGCAGTCTGGACGTCCTCGGTGTCGGAAGCGGTGGAGGTAAGAAATACAACCTGTGTAGCTGTAGAACATACGGTGTGCTGCTGTAACGGTTGTCTGTCAACCCAAAGCGTTGTGGTGAAACTCTGTCCGTCCTCGTCTTCAGGGTGAGGCGAGGACAAATTAGTAGACAGTTTCCATGGAGGCCTCTATAGGTTAAACGAGGACAGAGCTGCTGCAGTTTGTTCTGGGCCCCACTAGAGACCAGTATAGGTCATAGATTACTCTGATTACTGCACAGCGGCAGCATCAAAGTCTTTGTTCAGGACCGTAGAGGCCAGACTACAGAGCAAACACCGGAGTCAAATATATTTCACATTTACATTGAAATTCGTTTTGAAAGAATTTTTTTTTTTTTTTTGCAAATCTTCCAGTCAAATATGTTTTGGAGCATTTCTACTCTGAAGCAGCATAACATTTGAAACTCCTGGTGTATTCCAGGGGAGATGGATGTCCACATACTCTCTCTGCTGCAGTCTACCTTCCCTGCTGTTCCTATCACTGCTGACATTGTGGAGGGAAGCTCCACGCTCACCGACAACTTCAAAGGTACCGACGGTTCACATTCAAGCCGCCCATTGACTGCCTTTTTGTTTTGTAGTTTTAAGCTCCTATTTTGTTATTCTCTCATTTCCACTCCTCAGAAGTTGTAGCATTAGTGCATGATACTGAAACGCTGTAGCGCTGAGAGATGTGCCGGCGATACTTTCATCTGACGCACAGATTGAATGTTTTTGGACATTGCATCATCGACTCCACGGGTCCACTTCCCCTCTCAAACAAGGATCCAGCACTCTTTGCTGTTCTGGTCCACGCTGCAATCATATCCCTCAAATTATTTATGTTCCTGTTTTCTCTCTCTCTGTTTTTGATAATAGCACTAAGTGAGGCACCTGCAGAGCCTTGTGGGCCGGATGCGGCTCTGCAGGCTCCAAACGGATTAAAAGCAGCTAAAGCTTGTTTTGTACCCAATTATTTCTTGATCAAGGATGGTCCAGTGAAATGCTGATGAATCGTGTTGTTTTTAAATGGACTGATTGTTTTCTTATGTGTGACTTTAGCTTTGGTTGCCGGGACTGCCGGCCTCCAGAAGGTCCCGTTCGGCTGGCACATCATGCACAGCGGGGACTATGAGAAGCAGGTGAAAGCAAAGGGAGACGTGAAGAAATTCGACTTCATTCACATGATTCAGGTAAAAAAATAAAATCACAATCGTGAGCTCTGTTTTTTGCTGTCGGACTGCATGTTTTCTCCACCTGTGAGCATGGTGGGCTGAGATGTACTGTACTGGTAGAAGGTTTCTCACTCTGTGGAAGCAACAAGATATATTTAGGTCCTCTCCAAACCCTGCATGCTGCTTGAATACAGCGGGGACCACGTCAGGAGCGTTTTCTCCCAAAGCGTGCGACGATGAGTGCTGTATAAATAGTAATGCAGCCTTTGATATGAGATATAAGATGTCCCTGGTAGATGAACTATAAATGAAAACACTCTGAAGCATGCATTTGCATGTATTCAAGCCTCAGAGAGGTCAACGATAAGGTCGCCTTTAACGCTTCTCTCACCAGATGATCTACTATGTGGACGACCTCGCGGGAACCATCCAGTTCTTCCACAGCCTTCTGAAGAACAACGGCAGCCTGATGATTTTCATTGAAGCAGGTGAGAGGAACCGATTCAGGGATGTTCTATTCAGACTATTTGCAATTCTGATATAATGTAAATCTATGTGACTGAAAAGGAAAAACTGGTCTTTCCTTCTCCTGCTCCGTCTGTGCTGGAACAACAGTGCCCTCTTGGGTTTTAGTGTTGGAAAGAAAGTCAGCTGAACCTGCTAAACGTGCTTCGTTGAGGATTATTAAGGCCACGAGCCACTTCTGACTGCAGCATAAGATTGTTGTCGTGTGTTTTTTCTTCTGTCCAGAGAACAGCGGCTGGGACACTCTGTGGAAGACCTTCAAGAACGAGCTGTGCGGTGACGCCATCAAAGAATACCGCTCATCAGCAGAAGTTACCGCCTGCCTGAGAAAACTGGGTCTGAAATACGACGAGCATCCGGCGCCCAACTCCTTCGACATCACCGAGTGCTTCGATCCAGAGAGCGAGACCGGACGACGTCTGCTGGACTTCATGACGGCAAAAGACTTTTACAAGTCCTTCACCCCAGAAATCAGAGGCAAGATGTTAGAGCTTCTCAGAAACAAGTGCAGCACTCAGAGAGATGGCAAGGTGTTCTTCAACAGTGATTTGAGGTGCATTCTTGTCCATGCTTGAGTTTGAGGAAGAATGTCCACACGCTCCGATGGGTTTTCTTTACTGTGTATGTTTGCCACGAAGGATAAATACGTGCAAATACGTTTCTATTTGGTGATTCAAATACCTGCCAAATCCTTTATTGCCTTAAACACAACTCGAGCTGCGAGTTTAGAATCTTTTGCATTAAAATTGTGCCTCTTTTTAAATATGTAAAGAAGTTCTGTGTCTTTATATTAATGCCACTGCGATCTATGTTTTCCTATTTCACTGTGTGTCCTTAATCCATCTGACTATACATATACTAACCGTCTATACAACTACAGACAGACTTCCCGTCATTCTTTCATCGTCAGACTCCAACTTGACCCTTTTGTTTCACTCTCTTTGCTCTCGTAGCGTCACTTTTGGCCGCGGCGGGAAAGAAAATGAAAAAGCTGTAACACTGTGCACTACCAGGTGAAGCTTGGTGGAGTATTTAGCAGCTAAAAGACCTCAAGAGTTAGTGGAGGCTAAAAAAAACAAGCAGCGACGTCTGAGACTGAAGAATGAAGCCGACATAGAAGTGACCAAAGACTGTCAACACAGCTCCAGAAGAGACGCCCCCCGGGTTAAAATGTCAAACTATTAGCATGCTTACAGCCTGGTACAGAACAGGGTTTTGGTCTCTGTAGCTAGTTTCCCTGTTGGGGATAAAAGTACAACTTATCTGTTTAAAATGCATTAAGCCTTAATCTTAATTAAGGGCGTGGCCACTGAGTAGCAGTCGCTGCTTTCACAGGACAGCTCAGGACCTACAGACGTTTCCTCGACCTGCCTCAGCTCCGCTCTCTCTGTTTCTTTGCTCGTTTTTTAATGTATCTGCAGGTTATCCAGGTTCGTCCATCTTTAAAGTTACTCCACGCTGAAGCTAAAAGGAGAGCTGAGCCCACAACGTAAGATAAGAGGTGATAATCTATCAGTGAGCTGTTATTTACAGCTTGTTGTTCCCCACAGATGGCTAATAAATCATTTATTGCAGGTATAGCCTTGATGCTCTGAGTTTATCAATTAGGCCTCGTCAAGTTTTCGCATGAATAAAAACGTGTCACGACGTGGCGGACCGGACCAGCTGGGAGCGGCCCAGTACTGTTGTACAGTTTAGTGACGCATATAATTATACATATAAGGTCTGAAATACAGGCAGGAGATTTATGCTGTTTTATTTTTGGCTAATATGCTTGCAGAGTCGTTCTCATTAGAGAGAACAACAGACTTTAAACCTCCCCCATGATGCTGTTCATCATCAGTCCAGCAGATGGTGCTGCGTCTCTGGTAAACAGCTCAGCCGGTGTTTGTGCTCCATCGCGCTCCGCCCAGCAGATGGCACGCTGACCTCACGGTTAGACACCACACCACAGCCAGGAGCGACAACACCAACTTTTATTAGCACACAGTATGCTTTATGTGTAGCAGACAATTAATCCGGAGTTGTTTGACTCCTGCATGTTCGAACCGTTCAGAACCGTTTCCCGGCAGCGGCTCCAACACCGGGCCGTCTTCTGCGGCTCGGCACGCACAGAACCCTGTCAAGCCGCCGAGGTCTTGTCTCGAGCTCTCCGGCAAATGTATTCTGGCTGCTCATTTACCTCATTAGCTTTAATAGATCAGTAATTGAAATTCATCAAAAATTCTTGTCAGTGCACTCCCCCCTGATGTCAGTGGGCTTTCAACACCTGCTCAGGCTCCATTACCGGGGGTCCTCGCTGGGCCCTCTCATACCACCGAGTGACAGAGCATTAGTCACAGAGATAATCAACCTCACTGCACTGTTTGCCACTAATGCTCTTCAAGAACTATTTGCTTCACGTGCCAGTTGGTGTCTTATCGTAGAAGAAGTTCCCTCCGCTAGATGGATGTGATGAAATTTCCACAGATCGCCTTGTTTTCCAGGTGATTGATTACACTCGGAGGTGCCGAACAGCTGGATATCGTTATATTGTTAGCTGGATGTTGTTTTTTATTTACTTTCTGCCACCTGCTTATTACCTGATAGCGTAATGACAAGTCACGTCTCTCAGGAGGGTCTGACGTACGTTTGGTGATGCAGGAAAACAGACTCTGACATAGAGAGTCCATGAGTGTGTCCTTGCAGGGGGATGCTGGTCAGATGTTGCAGCAAAATTCAGGAAACGTCCAGGTGAAATCCTTTTTTTTTTTTTTTAATTTCCAGAAAAGATATCTCGTCTCAGTCCATCTGGCTGCCAATCAGAGGCGAACCTCTAACCTCTGGCTCTGAGGCGCTCATCAGAGTTCCTTCACTCATCGTTAGTGTAATGAGGAAACAAGCCATGTGTTCAAAGTGCGAATATTATAATTACATCTTGACCTGAGCATGCTTTAGGTTTTTTTTTTTTTCCTTTTCAGATTGAAGCTGTTCGTTCTATGTCTGCATGCCTTCACAGCGACTTTATTTTAAAGTCTATTAATTCATGCAGACGTCGTCGCCACACGTCGACTTGTTGCCTTCCAGTCCATTCAAGGCTTCCTTAATTCTCCTGGAACAGATGAAATTAATGTACAAGGTTTGATTACAAAAGGAAGCATATTTTTTTCCCACAAAAAAATACACATTTGACTACAAAACTGCAGCGAGACAGATTTAGAAAAACAAAACAAAGCATTATTCTTTAAAGCATTTAACATCTCTGACCCGGTTCCATCACCAGCGACCACCTCAGCGCCCACTGCACCTTACAAACGTTAAAGCATCTTGTTTCCTGCTTGAGGATGACTTTAATGTTTTCACACTGAACTGAATGTTTATTAGCTCTTGTAAAATGAAAACTGAAGCTGCAGCAGTTACCTTCTGTGTGTTTACCTGCTGCCTTCGTTGTTTCGTGTAATCGTCTCCCAATAATCTTTCTGACACTGAAGTCAAGTTGTTGGACTTCAGCCTAATCCTGGCCGTTGTCTACACATCCATGATATCACTGTTCCACTTATTTGTAAAGGCAAAGCAATGATTTTATTTTTTCTCAGCTGCATATAGATTGTTTCACCAAATTGACTCCTCAGATGTCTATTTCCTTTAATGCTGCTCACCTCCTCTGGTCCAGCCCGTATGGAGAGCCAGCACCAGGCCAGAGGCATCTTGTCAGCGTGTAACCCTCTCTGAGACCCGAGCAGGACATAAACCGGCCCTAAAATACATCACACACACTTTAATGGGCAGAGGCTGCGGCCGGGGCCTTGAAATATGGCTCTGATAGCGCTCCTGTAAATGGCCAGCCTCTGCGGCATATTTCATGCTGGAGAATTAGTCCTGTTTAGCAGCTGCTGTTATATAGCGGCTGTCCTCCGCGGGTCCGAGCCCGGCAGAACACGGCTGCTTGATGGATGCTTCTTTGCACTTTTTCTCTGTTGAATTTTTTAAAAATTCTGTTTAACATGAATTAGCACAAAACAAGGTGGAAATTGCAGAATTCAGTGTTTTTTTTTCTCTCTCTCACTAAAATTGTGATCCTGTAGACTCGCAGGCTTAAATCAATCCGAGGCGATTAACCACAAATCAGAAGGAGTGGAATGGGGGTGACTTGGCTCTAATCAAGTTTACCTTTGTCTCTCTCATTAATCTAGTGATTCAAGGCCTTACACTCCGATCTCCACGACTGTTCCTGTGGGTGTGAATATGGAGAATTGCCACAGATAAGCGACGGCACCGTATTTATTTGGCCATTGTAACGGTAGCGCGGGAGATAAACCGGGCCAAAAAAAAAAAAAAATGCCACTAATTGACCCCTTCAGTTCATATGTTGATCAATTACAGATAACGCAACACATTTAGCCAGTTCATAAATTATATATTCCCGTTTGTTTTTGCTGCTGCGACTGTAAAAGTTCTCCCATCGAGAGGAAAAGTTCAAGTGGAAAAAAAAAATAGGTTACTTCAGAAGAATTTTTATACGTGCCTGACAAACAGTGATAACAATTTTGAGAAACAACTTGATATTGACTCTAAGCCATGCTCTTTTAATCCAATATTAGCTCGCTTGATAAAAAAGAGTCACTGTCACTTGTTCACTTTGTCAACCGGGAGAGATCCTGAGGGCAAGATCCTCCTTAATTACACCCGGTGACGTTTACCCTCGCTAAACACACATGGTTCAGTCTTTGGGGCTGTGCTTGTCATCTTCTGTTGTGGGATGTGGAGGGAAAAACAAGAAAGTCTTCCCCACTATAAGCTGTTTGCATGAAGTTTTTTTTTTTGCTCAGATAAGGTTAGTTCATGTCAGCACTTCTTTTATTAACTTTTTTCTCCCTCTGATGTGATTCTTCTACAGTCAGAACTAAATTATTTAGGGTTTTTTTTGTATATATTGTTTTTAAATTCTCTGCATTGCTTCACGTGTTCCTATAATTGTGTGACCCTGAGTTTTCATACATTTAACTTTAATGTAGTCCAGAGTTTACAGCTGCACCGGCGATGTGGGTCAGTCTGCCTGAAAGAGCTGCTCGGCCCGCAAGAATTTAATTAGTCAGGGATCCGATGGAAAATAAACAAGTAATGTGTGCAGGTTTAGTGACGCCGCTGCAGAGGACGAGAGAGAAAATCTGCAGAAAACAAACGGCATCGTGGCTCGAAAACAGTCAAATTAAAGATGCTGAATATTGCCCGGCTATCGCTAACTTGGGTGTATCAACAGAGGCTTTTAAAAGGCCTTATCATCTGAACCTCGGTGATGATATCAGCTGTGTTTTATTACTGTTATTACTGAGGGTGATGTCTGTCTCTCCTGCAGCTATATTAGTGAAGAGAGATACAGGACTCGCACTAAAAACTGATGGTGAAACAGAGCAATCCTGCCAGAAGTTAATACCAGTAGCAGGGATATTTGTACTTAATCCCTGTCATGAGAAAAAGAAAATAAGACCTTACATTTCCCTGCAGATCTGCTATGGCTTTATTATTCTTCATTGCATTAATCAACTTGTATCTCGTCTTTTGCTTTTATTAAATGCCGTTTCTGGCTCACATCCATTCATTGGATCTTAAATATCCTCCCTCTCAAGGGTGTGAGCTTGATTGTGCATAGGAAATGAAGTTGGGAACTTTGGAGCTCTATTTAAAGTGCGAGTCCCTGGAGCGACCCCTCCCCGCCTTAATAACTTATGATCAGGATCCTCGGGTCCTTACGTTTTATTTCGCCTCGCCGGTGTTTCCTGCTAAACCCATTT